CTCTTTGTTTACCTAGGGAATATGAGTAAGCGTTGTTTCCGACCCGCTCCTGGCTTTCTCTTTTGTTATGATCCATGTCGAGATTCAAAACCTTCACAGTTTGTTTTGTTCCCTTTTGTTTTTTCATCTGGACTAGGTCCATCTTTGATTTTTCCCACTCCGTCATTTATTTTTATCATTCCCACTCCGTTAGTTAATGAGCTTCTTGATTATGTGTAAAGGCAAAATACAGCGGCCACTCTCATTTCTGTTATTTTTAGTTTGGATGCTTTGTTATATTTTAGTTTCGTTTTCTGGGTACATTCCCTCCCTTCTCATTTCACGAATATATATTTTTATAATAAAAAAGAAAAAGAGAAAAAAAAGGAGACATTGAACTTTTCAAATTTTTATGTCATGGGTTTCTTTTGTAGGTTCTCTGTGAAGATGTGATATGTTGCATATGTAGGATTGAATGGTGATGGATGAGTTCTTGTAGTGAATGAATGGGTCGGGAATCTGATTAGCTATATCTAAGATAGTTAATATTCACCAGCCTTACCCCATTTCCACTTCGGCCTTGAGCCAAAATTGTTGATGTTAAGCAATAAATAATTATTCCCATTATAGATTGAGATGAAAACCAGTTAATCCATATTTTTTTTAAATTTACTTTGAAACATATATCTAGGACGAATGTTGGATTTTTAAAGGGTACTAAATGTATTGTTTATGTTTATCATCAAGAATGCAGGTACTATGTGTCAAACCTTCATTATAGATGTGTCGACGAGTGAATGGGCCAATGTTGTAAATATGTCAAACTTTATTTACGTACGGGATGTATTTTTTCATACGGATTAGATTTAAGCTATTATCTTTCAAACAAAACCAATTTTAACTTCAAAGAAGATATTTAAATTATGTAACAATACCATTTCTTAAACATTTTTAGAAGAAAAATAGATAAATTCCTTGAATTTCGTCTCCAGTCATCCTTGAGGAAACTGAATTTCCGGGGTTTTCGGGATTCATGTCTCCTGTTCGCCTTTGAATTGGCAACATAAAATTTTATCAATGATTATCTAAAATCATAAAAGTAGTCCTTTAAAGAAGTTGAGCACCCAAAAGGCTGAATGGGTGGTCTCAAACCTTCCGGAACACAAGTGTAAGGTGGGGGCTCCAACCATATAAGCAGAGAGAGACAGAAAGTCAAGGAGAAAGGGGTTCAGCCGTGGGAGAAGTAGGTAGGTGACCAGTGAGAGTAGCTACCCGGCGGCCAGGTGTGAGGAATCAGCAGTGACTAAAGCGTCAGGCAATGAATGTAAGGGTCCTTTCCGTAGTTCTCGAAGTTGAAAGAAGGATTCCACAGTTAAGTGACAAATCGTATTGTTGGTAAATCCCAACCAGTGTGTTTAAAAACAATTGTCGTTATTATTTTTTGTTGAATGTGGTCACGGCCAAGAAGACAAACCTGCAAACATAGTGAGTTGGGTGCATATGCAGATACAGCCGACCTCGGATGTTATCACGGGTGGGTGCAGTGAACGATGGACGAGCGGAGAACGTCGTCACAAATTTCGCCACGAAAGTCGTCACATCTGGTTGCCGTGACAAATATAGACCCTGAGCCGCCACGGTAATTAAAAAATTAAAAAGAAAAAAGGAAACACGACGGGAAAGTGTAGAAGAAAAAGAAGAAAAAAATGACCATTCTCTCTAAAAAGAAGAAAGAAGGAAAAACAACGTGGAAAAGATAGATCGTTGAAAAAAAGAAATTTCGTTGAAAAAAAAACGAGAATAAGACAGAAAAGCGTGAAAAAAAGAGCAGAACTTTGAAACTAAAGAAAAAAAGCTTGTTGAAAAAAAGTAAAAGAAAAGGAAGCGTGAACGTCTTCTTTTTTTTTTTTTTTTTTTTTTTTTTTTTGCACACGTCAAGGAAAGAAAGACAGAAGGGGAAAGATTTTTATTCTCCCTGCCTCTCGCTAAATCTTACCGGCTGTAATATATATATATATATATATATATATATATATATATATATATATATGATAATGATAATAATATTGCTCAGTGACTTTTTTTCATTATACTTAATTGTGGTATTTTTCTGTTAGCGATAGTAATATTTTTTTTATTGTTTATTTATTTTTTATCCCCCTCGCCCCGTTTCTAAAATGATGGCCAGTAGTTCAAAAATTCCTTATATTTTCGGGAAAGCAGAATTTCAAGCTTGGATAGAAGTGCTGAAAAAGAAATCCAGAATCCAGAATCTAACGTCGGCAGAAATTGTCAACTTAGCTTATGACTATGCTGATGGAAGCGTGTCCAAATATATAGGTATATGCCTAGACGACAACCCTGAAGCTAGTTGAACAGATCTCTTGCAACAGCTAACAACGCAATATGCAAACTATATGAGCGCAGCGGATACGCCTAGAGAGTTAGAAACTAGACAGGACGAGAGAGAAACGTTGCCCGAGTTTGTTAATAGAGTGCTAAACTTGGCTAAAATAGGACGCGGTAGAAAGAGACGAAGAAGTTGTCCAATCACAATTAGCGGGGTACTATATGAATTAGAAAGATATTCGTAAGGCCCGATGTAGACAGGGCAGCTCCCAAAACACTTGAAGAACCATTTACGGTGGCACAAAGGAGTCATGGCCTGATTGAAAGACTGGAGTCTTCCCAAAGACACGTGCATGAGATGGGATGGCCCGTTAGGGAAAGAGAGAGATCATGTCTCATTGGAAGGGAACATTGAAGTCGTGGTTGAGCTAGTAGTAGTTGTAGTAATAGGGGTCACTCACCTGAGGGGAATAGGCAGAGATCTCACCTAGGCCCCAAGCAAATTGTTTGTTGGGGGTGTGGACAGTCGGGTCACCTAAGGAAGGACTTTGAACAGAGGAGGCGCGCATTCGCCCTGTTCGGTTAGGAATCCGATTTAACATAAGTAAGGATGGGGAAAGGAAATAGTGGCATTAATGGATACAGGGGTGTGACATCTTAAGGATTGAAAGGATAACTCAATAGCTATACCGAGTGAAATGTGACACTTTCAATACTGAAATGATAGTTCGATAGCTATACCGAGAGAGATGTGGCACTTTAAGTATCGAAATGATAGCTCAATAGCAAGAGACGAGGAAAAAATTTATTAAATTCAGAGGGGTTTTTTTCTTCCTTGGATAAAGGCAGAGGGGAAGGACAGAAACATCTGATTTTTCCTACAAAAAATCATATGGCTGAAGTTGACAACTGACTATGTAACGGAGACTTTTATCTGTCTATATTTCTGAGATGATGTATTATGTACATTATTTACATTATTCGGACTATTGTCCTCATCTTTGTCACCATATTTATTACAACGTTTCGGCCGTTGTACGCTCCGGCCTTCTTCAGGTGGTTGGAATGTCGAACTGAACCCTTTATTTCATTCACTGGAGTAGACTGTTCTAGTTCCACGTGTCATGTTTAATGGATGTCAATTATCAGTTATCTCCTGTTAATTTCCCTCTGAAAGTTCTCCATTGCCTTAACCGGGTATTGAACTCACACTCTTTGGGTCCTGTCACTGGATCTAACTAACGCCTTTATCCACTGTGCCATGTGTCCTTGAGGAATCGCTGGAGCGGTGAAATTTCTTCGGATAAGAACCGAAATGGTGACATTGCTGATAATTACTATTTAAAATCCAGTTTACGGAATTATCTACAGGCCATAATCCGGTAAGGAAAAATTGGTCGAGAGATAATAGTTAAGGTTTTCTGGAAATCAAAGCAGAGTTAGAGATTTGTTTTATTTATTTATTATTTTTTTTAATTATTATTATCACTTGTCAAAAAGGGAAGGGAATGTATGAACCGCTGAAGAGATGAGATTTCTTTGGATAAGGGGCAAAGTGCCACGAGAAGAGGCTGTCAGGGAAACAGCTGATGAGTGCCCGATTGAGAAAGCGAAAAGGGTTGAAGAATTCCGTTGATGAAAATATTGGACGTTAATTAAAATTAATAATTGGAGCTAAGCCACGTTTGTTTGTCCATACAGCCTAGAGATCGGATTGGTCAGGTGACCATAGAAGTGAAGGGCCTAAGTGAAATCTCAATGGAGGCGGAGGAATTGCCTACACTCTTTGGGTAGTATTGATATAAGGCATCGATACAAGAAGGAAGGAGTTAGGGTGGATCGATATTCTGCTACCACTACTCCTCCAATGAGGGATATCTCCAAAATTGGGCATGCAATTAATTTCCCAGATTCAACCAAAGAAATCACTGTGGAGATTAAGGGAATGTCCGAAAACCCAACCCACAGCAGACCCCATGCAGGTTTTGGACGGATGTCTATATAAAAAGAGAATCGAAACGATAAAGAAGCCGCCAGGCGAGGAGCAACTGCTTCACAGAATTCACGAGACTTTCTGCCGTTGAAGAAAACCTCCGACTTTGAACTGTATTCCAAAAACCTTGTCTAGACTTAGTGACGACGTACAAAATGTCAGGAAATATTCGAAGAGGGGAAAGGTCGCATAACTTTGCATGACAAATATATTTCTGCATGAAGAACATATATTCCTACCTGAAGAACTGATATTGTACTACCAGCCCTGTACAAGAAATGTTATATAATTTTATTTTCTTTATTACAATTCATCCTATGACCAATTCAACGATTCCTGTCGACAATTGATCCTCGCCAGCCTTGTCATCTAAATCAAACACAACGTGGTACAAAGCAAGGCTTGAATCGAAGTGATACATTCAGCGGTCAGCCGCGCGGATTGAACATCGAATTGCTGGTCGAACATGAACTAAATGTTGCAAAGCAGAAAATACTTCACGCAGACGGAAGAGAGATAAAGATATTATTCCTATAGAAGTAAGAGGGGCAGTCACAGTGCAATAAATATATGTGACACCTACCCTGATATTGGGTAGGGACTGGCTTCAAAGCAATGAAGCGCAGATAAACCTCGAGCGATCACTTCCACTGCTAAGGATGGGAAAAGAGAAATACCTTTAGAGGGAAGAAAGGACGGACGGAGAAATCACCGTAAAAGATACCGGGGATGTTATTTTACGCCCGCACACGGCTATCACTTGTAGTATGAGGCTTTCTTCAGCTGGGGAATTAGGAAAAAGGAAATCGTATCGGGTCGCCCAAACGGATGAACTTTGTTTTAATGAGGGGAAACTAGCTCTAGCGGAGTCCGTAGAGGAAGATGACAGTGCGGTTTGTATCCCAATAATGCTAGCTAACACTAATAATACAACAATAAGGGTCCACAGGGAAGAGAATTTAAGAGAGACTATACCAGCTATAACTTAGTGGGTAGGTAGAATATTCAGAGGACAAAGAACGTAGCTGTAAGAATTTCATAATTAGGAAGGGAGAGATATTAACTCCACATACACACAAAGGAAACATCCTGACTTCTATTAAGGACGATAGAGACGTGATAGCTGACACAGTAGAGATAAGAGTAGACAAGGATAACCACCTGCGTATAAAGCTAATACTATATCGAACCCCACTACATAAGCCTAAACTCGTACAAGGGGCAATTGGGAGTATGCTGGAAACAGTAATAATAGAACGCTTCACATCACTGTGGAGGGTTCGGAATAAAATAATCTACCCACTAGCCTCTCCATGATCGATGACATATTAGCATTGCTGGGGAAGTTAACTTATTTTCCACCCTTGATTTGGGGTTTGGCTACTGGTAGGTACATCTCTACAAAGCCGATAGAGAGAAGGCTGAATTGCGTTGTACCAGTTCAGTATCATGCCCTTGAGACTGGCCAATGCATCTGGAATCTTTCAGCAGGTCATGCTTATAGTGCTAGTGACACCCGGTATGAGGGTCTTGTTGCTATTCGTACTCACCATCCCAACCGGTGTGTTGAAATTTGTCACAGTGATAATTATCAGATTAAATTGGATAATTAGTAAGCGTTACCTATAAGGATTGAAACAAATTAGTAATGTACAGGCCATAGACTGGGAACTGGACTTATTGGAGGTATGCATAGGAAAACCAATAGTCACTGTAAAAGCTACCACGCCCCGGAACATTATCAGACTTCAGACGGGTTGCTTTGCCTTCGGGAAAACTTTAGCCTTCTCGCCATGCTATCAGGTGGAGGAAAATTTTGAAACCCAGGATTCCTTTCTATCCTTGGTGGATGTTTCGACAAGTAAGTATATAGGGATGCGGTAACACCTAAAAGGAAAACAGATATATCTACATGCAAATTACCACTATTGTTAAAACCAATAGATTTATATGAATTAGTGGATAAGTTAACGATGGTGAGAAGAAATCACCCCACCGAGGGGGTCCCAACAGCAAATATTATAGTTTGGTTGTCAGTTATCATAGTGCTAGTGATGGATTTAGTGGGTTATGGGAGATGGCTGAAAAAGCCTAAGGTACAAAATGAGCCAGTGAGAGTATGTGAGAGCGAGGAGAGGAGAAAAATGAACCTCGGAGCTCCCCAGCAGTCAGACGGATTGGAGGCTACAATTTCCCACTATACGTGTGGAATCCAAAGAAAAGAAAAGAAGGAAATAAATTTTTAGCTCTCTATTCCAAAGAAAAAAAAGAGAAAAAAAGAGAGAAACAAAAAGAGGGAAGAAATTTTCACCCTTGCGTCTTATAATTTTATATGACACAGGAACCCACCAGTGGACTGAAAATGAACATTGTTGCAGTCTACCCACATAAATATATTTTGATGAGACTTTTTTTTATTTTTTAACGTCTTGTGTGTGTCCTGTTGCAAATTGTTTCGACTTGTGATAAAAGCTGTTTCATTCTTATTTTAGGTGAATTTTGTGTGTGTTTTGAAGACGTAAAAAGTCAAGAAATGTAATCATTGTGCAGTGTGACATGGGACTTGTGCATCTTATTTTATGACGAAGGCCATGTGATGATACTCCCCAGTTTTTGTCTTGATTAAGGGGTAAAATTGGTTTCACTTCTGTAGTATGCTAAAATGCCGTTTTTTTTTATGTGTTGGGGCGTTATGAAATGGTAAGATTTGAAGAGGTGGTTAAAGCCCTCTTGTTTATTTTGGAAGGTCGGTAAAAATGACGCTTCCTGTAGCCTGAGTTACTTGAAATGGTGGTTAAAATCCCCTTGTTTTTATATTGGTTTTCTCTTTGGGAGGTCAGGAGAGTGACACTTCCCGTAATGTGACATTTTTATAGAGTTGTTTGAAATCCTCTTGTAATGACTTGAACAGAAGAGAAGGGCTGATAACCACCCTCTTGTATATTATGACGTTTCAGAGGGCTCGTGGCTGTACAGAATTTATCCCTCTTTGGGCTGAACTACCTTCAGAGGTTGTTGGAGTCCATCTGCATGTTTTTGTGAGACTATGTAGAATTCCATGTTTTGAGCTGCACAAGAAATATTGCTATCGTACTTAATTGCTTTGTTTTATTTATTTTAATTTTTTAATTTGTTTTATTGATTGTTCTGTAGTCTTGTTATTGTAATTTATATAATAATAATAAATTAGGATTGTAACAATACGATTACTCACACATTTTTAGAAGATAAGTAGATAAATTCCTTCCTTTTAAGTCCACTCAGCTATCTGAATTTCGTCACCAGTCTATCCTTGAGTCGACTGAATTTCCGGGGTTTTCAGGATTCATGTCTCCTGTTCGCCTTTGAATTGACAACATAAAATTTTATCAATGATTTTAGATAATCATAAAAGTAGTCCTTTGAAGAAGTTGACCACCCAAAAAACCGAATGGGTAATCTCAAACCTTCCGGAACACAAGTGGATGTAGGTGGGTGAGACCCCAGCCATTATCCATATAAAGATAGAGAAGCAGAAAGTCAAGGAGAACGGGGCCCAGCCGTGAGAGTAGTAAGTAGGTGACCAGTGAGTTAGTGGTTGCCCAGCGGCCAGGAGTGAGGAATCAGCAGTGACCGAAGCGATAGGCAGTAAATGTAAGGATCCTTTTCCGTGGCCGGAAATTAATAAGATAGCAGTCCACTTCTCGAAGTTGAAAGAAGGATTCCACAGTTAAGTGACAAATCGTATTACTGGTAACTCCTAACTAGTGTGTTTAAAAACAATTGTCGTTATTATTTTTTGTTGAATGTGGTCACGGCCAAGAAGACAAACCTGCAAACATAGTGAGTTGGGTGCATATGCAGATACAGCCGACCTCGGATGTTATCACGGGTGGGTGCAGTGAACGATGGACGAGCGGAGAACGTCGTCACAAATTTCGCCACGAAAGTCGTCACAGCTATTTAAAATGTGTTTTTCGGGATTTTTTAGGATGTCCTTGTTGGTACCTACACTTTATAAACCACATTTTTCGATTGGCCTTTCTCATACAGTCAATGGTATAGGTGTTTAATATAATGGAAGTTAACCCCCCTTACACAAATAGAAAGTTCAAGCCCTCGGGGAGTATGACCCGGATGTATTCTAATGGCGTAGTAAATAAAGACACAATTGGATTACAATTTGTCTTCATTTTGTCATTCTTGACACACGTATAGCTTAACAATAGGTAAACAACTTGTATTACGCCATTTTTCCAAGAGGCCAAGTACTTCCTACATTGAAAATAAGCATTCAATGTCCAGTCTTTTTAGGTTCTAACACTTACTAATGCTGTCAGAATCAAACACAATTATATTAGTATTTATCTCTATGTGATTATGTATGCCAATCTATGTATCTGCGTGTGTAAGTATACCTGTGTTCATCGCTATTAAATAAATGTGGGAATAGATAGGTACTTAAGTATCACGTTCAGTGTTTGCTATGTATGGTTATTAAAAATTTATTCATGTTTTGAATATGTCTATTTGTGTACACTTATGACGACATTTTTAGTAAAAATGGCGGCCATTGATGAGTTACTGCCAACATTAAAAAGTCGAAATTATGTCACAAAGAGAAGTCAGTACTGAGAATAAGAGAGAAAAGAAGGCGAATAAGAAAGAAGTGAATGAAAAAGTAAGAAAAAGTCGTAAAGAATATGATTGTTCAATAAGGAGAACAGTATTTTATAAAGAATTAAATATGAGAGGAAACATACGTGCATTCATTAAAAATTAATCAGGTTTAATGTCGAGTGTTTAGAGGCGACGCCGACATGTTATCACGTCTGTGTTTGTGTATGTGTGTGCGCGCATGCGTGTGCATTTGCATATTTTCTGTCAGATGGATAAAAGGAAGGAAGCTAAAAACAGCCAACGGCCATGTTGTTTCTCGAATTAAATACAGTGCGCTTACCCCAAAACATCCTTTCGTTTTTATTCCTTTCTTTATGCATACGTAGATGTCTAAAATCAGTGTACACAAAATATACACGAAGCATTCAAAACTAATCAAGTTTTCGTATCAACGTGAAGATTTGCAGTCCGACATCGATGATGGCAATTTAATACATAAAAAAAACATATTCAGTCGTTGATTGAGTTTTATATTGTGATCTATCTCCGTCTCTTAAGAATTCCTGATTTAACTTGTCATTCATGCTTTCAAATATTATATATTAAAGATTTTATAAGTAAAAAAAATGATTACAGTATTTACATTGTTCAGACTGTTGTCCTCATCTTCGATGCCATATTCACGACGTTTCGGCCGTTGTACGCTCCAGCCTTCGTCAGGTGATTGGAATTTCGAACTTAATTTTTTATTTTAACCACTGGGGTGGATTATTCTAGTTCCACGTGCCATGCCTCTTCCAGATGTCTCAATATTAGTTATCTTCCTTTACCTCAACTCTCCAAATTTTTTGTTCTCCTCAGCTGTAGCTGAGGTGAACAAAAACTCACAATTCTTTATGTCAACCAAAACTTTTATCTACTGGACCATGTGTCCTTAAGAACATCAGTGTTTGAATTTTTGGAACTCATAAACCTAATGTCTCAGTAGCATTTTTTAACAGAGCTCATATTAAATTTTTGTTGTCGTCATTGTTTTTTCTCTAGCATTCTGTATTACTGGTTCCCATATTATATTAATTTTTATGCTTATTCAGCTTAGGAGTTTTTTGTGGCCTAGCATATACACTGATTCCTTACCTTTTTTCTGTATTTTCCAGTGATGTTCTCTGTCTATTATTTCAACCTCATCCCACGGAGTGAGGAGGTGATCTCACTTTTCACTCCATATGTAGTCAGCTAAACCTGATTTTTCTATTTCCCCTCGTGTTACAGTTTTACCGTGTTCCTACAGTTTTATATTACGGGTGCGGCCTGTTTCTCCTTTATATTTCTTGCTACAACTGCATGGGATGGTGTACACACAGTCCTTAATCTTCTTCTCCTTTTTGGATGGTCTTACACGGAAGGAGTGTATGCGAAATGTTGAAACACTTTAAAAGGTTGTCCTGATGTTATATGGACCACAGATCTTTTGTATTTTTTCCGAAAATCCCTTCACATAGGGTAGGCAGACCGAGGCTGTTTTCTGAGTGTTGTTATCCTCTTTCACCCTTCTATCCTAGTTTCTCAGAGCTGTTGTCATGTACCCAGAGTAGTTGTTACGTTGTAGGGTACTGCTTATACTGACCATTTCTTGTTCATATATCTCTGGATCGCCACTTATGACTTTTGCTCGATGTTGTAAAAACCGGACGATCCATTTCTTTACACTGTATGGATGGTAGGAGTTGAAGTTGAGGCATTGTCTAGTGAATGTTGGCTTGTGGTATACGAATGTCTTGAACCCATGCTCTGTTCGAGATATTAGTACACCCAGGAATACTAATTTGTTGTTTTCTCTTTCCATTGTGAACTGTATCGATGATCTTATTGACCATGCGAACTCAATAAGATCATCGATACAGTTCACAATGGAAAGAGAAAACAAGAAGAAGAATGTGGGTGTGTCTGGAGCAAGATAATCTGACTGAGCCTATTCCTCTTCAACTCTGCAATTGTCCTTATCCTTGAATGGTTGACTATATAATCCAGTCCGCTCTACTATTTAATTCGTAACATACTAGCCCAGAATTTAAACCCGACTTTCCAATTTCCGTTACGTTGAGTCCAGATCCCGTCCACTTAACGTGGCGTGACGCCTATATTAGGTTTAAAGCAAGGAACGTCTACGTCAACTCTCAATTAAAATCTTTATTCTCTTCTCTTTTCCATATCTGCTAATGTGTATCTAGTTTGCAGCTTGTGCAAACTCTTGACGAATTCTTGTTCTGTAAATATATAGATAGGGTGTTTTCTTTCAAACAATTATATATGTCCTTGAATTTTTTTCATCCATGAAAAAAGTGCTATCATATCGGCCATGGTAATGCTATATTAGGATGTTAAGATAAATTTATCTCCCTCAATCATTCTAATAATTGGTGACTCCGACATCGTAGGTAATTTATCTAACTACAAATATATGTAATATTGGGTGATTTTTTTTTTATTTTTTTTTTTTTTTTTTGCATTTTCTTACGAATTTTTTACATATGCAATGATATTTCTACCGTTTTCTATATTCTCGTCCAGCAAGTTTTTATTGAAATTCTTCGGGTTAGAGATAATTACTGAGGCGACTTTATTTAATAATTGGTGTTATTTTACATGTGCTATATAAACAGTAGAAATTGTTATAAGTCCTCTTTCCATAAGCAGAAAAATAGTGTACATGTAAACTTTGAGCCTTGTTGCAAAATTCTGGTTGAGAAAACCTTGGGAGTATGTCATTTATAAGCAGTACACATTTTTATGTGCATTTTAACTCGGTTGTTTGTTGAAATCCAGTATGACTGCCATCGTCTTCTTGCGCCGTCTCAAATTTGTAGTCATCCTTATCATCGTACGTACTTCCCACTATCGTAGTTCTCTTACCGTCTCAAGCTGTAATTAAGATTTTTTTAATAATGTTTACTCAATACATGGCCCAAGAGCTACTCAATGTAGAAAGTTGCTAAATGATATTGTTGTATGAGCATAAGAAGAGGAGGTAAGGGTAAGAAGTGCAGTTTATGAGGTTGTGTAGGAGAGATAACGGTTAAACCTAAACATGAAGAGGTTATAATTGGGTGATCGGGATAACATCCTCTAAGGAGTCTGTTTGAGTGGATCTTCCTTCTTACTATTGGAAGACGAAAGGAATAAAGATTATTCGTTCTGGTGTAGGTGACATGATAAATCTTAGATGTGATTGTCAGGACTGGTAGAATTAAGAAATGTAACGCTTTAAAACATTTGCTATGGAAATAGCGATAGAGTAGTGAGAGGCTTACGACGTTTCGTCTGTGAGAAAAAGTTTTGTAGGTTAGAAAATAATCAATCACCCACAAGGCCGCATATACGCGTTTTAACTCTTTCAAGACAGGCAAGTGAGTGCTTGACAGTTTCAGTACAAATATGGTAGTATTACTCCATTTTTGATCTGATCTGGCTCTTGTAAATATAGAACATAGCATGTGGAGTCAGATACTTACTGGAACGATAGAAGAAACCGACAATTTTACAGCATCGTAACCCTCTTTAACTTATTTGGTATTAATTGCAGCTCTGAACCACATCGTAGTAATTCTGCTTTCTCCTCTGTCTGATTAGCTCCCTTACACCATTTTTATTACTTTTATGTCTAGTAAAATATTTTTATTCAACTAGTCTATTCATCTTATTCTAAAACGGACAGTCTTATACTTTGTCCAAATCAAGATACATTTTGAGGTTACTTCACGGGCTAAGAAGTTTGTGTTAACAGTATGTGTTACCACGTAAAACAGCTATGGAGGTAAGCGATATTATTATCTATTCACTTGTAGACTATCGCCGGTAGAAATCTTTGCGACAAACATAAGCTGGCTACCGGCGACGATTCGGTGTACCAGCTATGGAGAAGCCTGTCGTCTTTTATTTGTACATGACTGTATAACTAGTAATAATTTTTTTTGTAGAGAGTTGCGATCAAATTTCTTTCATTCCCAATACTGGGACAGAAGGACCTATAGGCCTTTAAGAAATCTCTTATACAGATTTATGTACAAAAATGCCTGTTTGTGAATTTAAGCTTGCGCTGAGCTTTCATTCGCCTTTTTGTAATTACGAACGTGGAAAACGCCATATTAATTGCTGATATTTTGCACAAATATGGTCTATTGATCTGCATAGATGTTTAATGGACTCGCGTAAGATCGCCTGATTATATTTCTTCTACGTCCTATTATGCCCGACCGTGAAATAATGTTTTTTAGTAATCTTTCAGAAAAAAAAATTCCAGTATTACTAAGCTCTACTTCCAATTCGAAACATTGTCCCATAGCATTACACTTCATTATTACTACCAGAAAATTGACAGTTGCCCACCGTAGCTAGCTTCAGATAAAATTTAAAATTGAATTCAGGCTTTTCTGTTTCATCTAGCAGTGAAATTTAGCAGCATTGTAGCGGCGATAGATCTCTCAACACTGTCACAAAGCTGGATATCTATTCAGTTCCATATATTCATTACAACACCCAATTTATTATGAGACACAATTAATTAGATGAAAAGCGAAAATAAACGAGCTTGTCTTGCAGGCCAATGCCAATGTAATCAATTTGATTCTCATCGTGGTGCCTACTACCATAGCCCTGTTGCGGGGCCGATAAGGATGTCGCCGCCGCAAGCTTTTAGAAGAAAGGTGTGAACAGCCAAGACAATGAGGGTACAAAGGCAGAGGTTTAAAAATAATTAACGTCGATTTTTATTTATCCCAAATGTACAAGAGTGTACTGTCTGGAGAAATATGTTTGTATCGGTACCGGGTCCAGTATGACAGGTTTCCTTCAGGGGAAGTTGCTTCGGTTGTATCGGCGAAATGAGTGTACAGTTGATCGGCGGCAGTAACTGGTTGATCGATGACGCACGAAGATTCGTTGGGTCGGTTAGGACGAGTCCCTAAACAGTGCCGAGTCAGTATAGTGATACGACTTCCAGGGCTGATCAACCGCGGAGGCGGGATCGTGCCGAAGACGGAAATTCTTAAACAGGGACGAGTCAGAGTAGTGATATGACTTCCAGGGAGGATCAACCGCGGAGACGGGATCGCGCCGAAGTGTAGCACTTGACGAAGCTTGAGTCAGAGAGGAGATACGTCTTCCAGGGCAGAATCGACCGCGGAAACAGGATCACGCCGAAGAGTATTCTCTCGACGAAGCATCGGAAGCTCACAAAGGTAGAGTACTACACTTTGATCCAGGCCACCGGGCCGAGCAGCCTCGATTTGGACGTAGATATAAAATTACTCCGCATGTTGTTCAATGTTTGGGAAGCACTGCCTTATCCGATGCTCGCTACATACTGTTTTGGACTCAACCATATTGGGCCAATCGTCTAGTTTCTCGCATGCTGCTGGATTAAATCTGCAAGATCAGCGGTTGTGAAGGTCAAGGTCGTTTTTCTAAGGAGCGGATAATGGCGGCCGCGACAGCCCCGTGCCAGATTAACTAAGCTTAGCAAATATCTACCAAATCCCCAAGACCATCGCTTATCATCGATATATGAAAGGTCAGATGCACTCTTTAAAACAAGAGTAAAGAATAAGTTTTTAATCAAGAGCACTTCTCAAGTCAACTGAGAGTCACATTATTTTGAAGACCATATAAATACTTTAAAGAATGGTTACCGTTGCGATAACGGAAAATGACGTCAATGTCACTAATTTTCAAAGAAGTTAATGAATGCGTTTAAGAAAATTAAATAACAAAAATGATTTTTTTCATCTGTTACCAAAATTAGCATTTCAGAGACGAATCGCAATAAGTTGACTGACTACTACTATTACTACTACTACTACTACTAATAATAATAATAATAATAATAATAATAATATTAAAAAGCATCTGATGTTTTAAGAGCGGAGCAAATTTTATTACACAATAATATCATAAAGGATAGATCCTTCCCAAATTTTAAATCCAACAGACTACGTGTAGAACAAGGAGAGAGAGAGTGAGAGAGAGAGAGAGAGAGAGGTGAAGGGGAGAGAGAGATTGGCGTAGATGGAGGGCTAAGACTAAAAGTTATCAACAATATCGACTAAGAAAGAAAAAAAAAGAAAAAAGAAAGACAGAAATTGTAAGACGAAAGGGAAAAAGGAGTGTTACGGAGAACGTCCGATTAAAACGAAAGGCAGTGAATTTCTTGGGCTTTAATTATCGTTTATTCTTTATTTATTTATTTTTCTTTTTCGTTTGATCTTTTGTAAAGGCGGCAATGCCCAAAGGGAAAACAAAGTCGTTCAGCTCTTGATTAAAAGAAAAAGGAGTTTCAATCTTTGATCAGATTTCAAAGTTCATTAAGGCAAGGATTGTTACCTTCGTCATCAATCGAACATTAGGGTCACTCAAATTAGATGCTATTAGATAGATAGATAGATAGATAGATAGATAGATAGATAGATTAGTGAAGACTTTTACAAATATCTAACTGATGACGGATTTTTCAAAATAGACAAACGCAAAAAAGGTCTACTTTCCTCGAAAGTTGTGCTTCAATGCGTTTCCTTGGCCCGGAATCGAACACTTAGCGCTGATTCGCACAAAGCAAGATGATATACTTCTTCGAGATGCATAATTAAGGAAATTGTTAATGATGATAGTATCCGTTTAAGGAAACATTCTGAATTCATTGACTGAGCAGCCAGTACTTACTTAAAATTTATAGGGAAGTGTTTTAAATAGTACTTTCTCTTACTTATATAAGGGAGATTATATTCATTCTGATAGACACATACGGTAGACCAATGGTCAGCAACTGATTACAAATGAGTTCAAACCTTATAAAGTGCTTCCCTATTATGTACGTAAAGGATGTCGCCATTCAGTAAGGTGGACTGGCAGACAATACACTATACTAAATTTGATTATACAAGTCAATGTTTTCACAATAAAATTGACATTAACCAATCAAGATAAATGCAGAGAATTATTGTAAATTATGGACAAAATATTTTAAGTGGTACAGGTCAGAACGAAGATGATTTAAGCTAAAAGAGTACTCATTAAAGACGTTCCTTGATATTCTATAATATCGATTATTACTCACCTAGCCAAAAATATTTTCAAAAACATCAAAGCAGTAAAAATTACTAAAAATAATGTCAAAACAGTAGAAAAGTTATGAAAATCAATAAATTGAAGATTGATAAAAGTTATAAAATCTCAAAGAGCCCATACTAACATGTAAAATAATTTATTCAAATATGAGATAATTTTTTAATCAAATATGCTTCTGTGGCATTTATCTTTTGGATGTATTTGTAAATAAAATTATATGTTACACTTCGTTTGCATAATAAAACCTAAGCTGAAACGCAAATCATATATTATTACTCATAAATAAAAATATATCCTGAGAATTTGACCAACATCGGTTAATACCGCTTCTATTGTAGCAACATAGACTTTTATAATAAAATCTGATATAGTGAGTTTGTACATGGTCGACTATCTTAGAATTGTGGATTTGAGTCTAAAATAGACTTATTAAATATCTATCTCGAGCGAAAGGTACAGCAATGGTCAGCAACTCGAGTAAGTTAAAATGTAAATCAGTGCAATATGGCGAGTATTAAAACAGTAAGCAAAATTAGTTTTTAGTTTTCGATCTTTACTGAGTTCTCTGGACTAAACCGAGTGCTTCCAGTAAAATGATGATTGTTGAGCTAATGTTGCAGATCAGCATTCACTGTTGTTTGAATGAACTTTACTAAGCTTTGTAAATATACTTAGCGTTCATTTCATTTAGGCTTCCTTCATAAAATTACGTAAGAACGATCACCATGGTTTCAGGTTTAGCATAATAATAATTTATGGCATACGTTCTATAAATATAGCCTTGTGCCAATCTTTATGTTGTCTCGTTAAAATGTTTCATAGTCCAATTTTCTACATACAATGTGTGAAAGCACGTGCGATACCCTGTCCTCGTTACCTGCCATCCCTGGGAGGTAACACAGTTTCGGTAGCTAAGGCGGTACTGCCACTTCTGGTGCCACTAGCAGCTTTTACCACCGGACAGAGTATTGATTTTTGTGTAGATGTGTCAGTCTCTTACGATTTTTTTTTTTTTTTGCAACTGCAACTCAGATTATCAACTTTGTGTTAAAAGCACTTGCTTTTGATCGTTAACTAATAGACAACGCGCTAGTAGCGATCGTCATCAATGACGTAGAATGGAAATTAAACAGATTTTTTTTTTCCTGTTGGAAGTAGCATTGTGTTGCGAAGCATGGTTTTAACTTTATTTTGGATCTTGACCAGATCCAACACGATGCCTGCTGATCTGTGGTCTGGACAGAATGTGAAGCACGCTTCAGGCTCCGTCCAGTAATGCCCACCTTCAAAAGGAAGGAAACGATTGGCCGTCCAAGGAGTTCACGGCACCCGACCTTAATGACATGTCCACTTCTTTTCCACGTAGTCAGATCGCAGCGATTCGTAATGGTTTTTCTTTCGCTCGTGCGCCTCCTCCCAGTTCTCCTCCGTTAATTCTACTCAGAGGACACATTTCGTTGAATCAAACCACGCTACAATGTCAGGGCGTGCGTCTGTCTGAATGATATGTACTGGAAATTGCAGAGGTGTTATAAGATCAACTAATACCCTCCAATCACGGACTCCACTCAGTAGTGTTATGTTGAGAATTATTTGGGTCTTTCACACAGGACGTTCACTTTCCTTGTGAAAACGTATTTGCGAAAACGGTTCTCTGGCCGTTATAGCCTATTTTTTGGCTGTGTACTAAGTCCACTTCCAGCACTTTGTTATGACGCCACGTGTACATCTGCAGTGATGTGGGCATACAGAGCACGTGGCGTAAAGTGTCTCGATCACTTAGACATAATGCGCCTACATCGGTGTCAGTGTACCCGCACAGCTTGATGTTGGTCGCATTTGGTTGAAGATCGTAGCTAGATCACAGGAGGAATATTGCCAATGGATCTATTGCAATCAGATATAAAATATCAGCTTATATCAAGTTACTTAATCGTAGGTGCTTACTAAGTTTAACTTAGTCTGGCACACGGCCATTTTCCTTAAGGGAAGATTTTTCACAGATCGTAAGGAAAGTTGATTTTACAAAGATTAAAATGAAAGCAACCATCCTCGGTGCAGGCTGAAAAACAATTTCGCATTATCTCGACGCTTGCTTTGACGCTGTGCTTTGACATTAACTTGAATCGAATAAAGAAATCAATATACTTACTGGAAAACCAATTCCAGTTACATTCTGTGTCTTCCTTTTGTACGTCATTTTTACATTGCTACAACGACTATAAAATATGAAATTTTTCCTTAGACTTATCCACAAGGTTCTGATTTACTATTGTTCCTTTCTGCAAGCGTCGTGTACTGCTCTTAGCAGGTGACTGTAGGCGTCACCAATTTGGTCGTCACCAATTTAGGCGTCGTTTGTCTTTCTCGTCTCGAACATTGAAGATGTACGCATTAAAACAACTTTTTGAGAGATTTTTAAAATTGAGTCAGTGTTCATGCTCTTTTCCTATTTTTCCATTTTTCATTCGTTAATTTATTTTTCATTACGATTTGCTTTTTTATTTAAAAGTTTTATTTCAATTTTCTTCTTCCTAATTTCTCATTTTCACTTTTCCTTCTTTCTTTAAGCTTAATTCAAAGTTGACTTCTATGATGAGAGTGTCATCGTTTACATTCAACTTAGTACGGCACTAGATCGAATATAATGTTATGTTAGTAACGTCTGATATGAATACGAGACTAAATTTTTTTTATACTTAAAATAATTGTTTATTCACTTCGTCTCTCCATCAAATTAGCTTCGGCCAATCAACGGTATGTGGTTTCAGATCTTTGTTCGAAAGTTTGATCTTCTTGCAAGGATGCCAGGGATTCAATAAGTGATTGTTTAACAGTCATCAACCGGTTCACTTAGGATTATTTCAATCATTCGAAAATCAGATAAAATGTAATACATACGCACCAAACTGCCCCTCCGACACCCTGTGTGTTTGTGTGAAATTCAAGCCTGATAAGTGTATGAAATATATATTCGTTTATTTATGTTAATCTCAATAAAATGTTAAAATATTTTATCTTCTCAACCTTTTCCTCTCTCTCTCTCTCCCTCCCTCTCTGTTTTTTCTTTCAACTTTCAAGTGATACGGACCTAGCTAGAGTGTTTACTGTTCTCAGTAAAGAGAGAACAATGAAATCAGTCTCAGAAATGACCGTCTTAATTGAGCGTAAGTTTTTCTTTCTGTTGTACATAATGAGATTAATTCATTTGCGTACTTGTAAAGCTATTATATTACTCAAATGAATGAACAATTCTGGCCGACCCCCATCAAATACTGGGGAAAATATGTGTTCGAACACAAAGGCCACTTTGTAAATAAATAAATAAAATAAACAAAAATTATCCGAAGAACATATAATAAAAAAGGAGTTATGCCAATCGACAAAGATGAGTCATGATTTTATTAAATGCGTTCAGCATTTACAACTCATAAAACATGAACGGACAAGATTTTTTTTTCTTTTGGAAGATAGTTGAAAGTTGAATCTTGAAAATAATGTGGAGATGAATCCGCCAAGCCCAGTTTGCAAAGATTCATTTCCACATTATTTTCAAGATTCAACTTCTCATTCCATATTCCTTAGTATCTGCTCTTTCGCTCTTTCTTTCGTTATTTCTTTCTTTGTGTGTATCTTAATTTGCTTTGTTTTACTGTCTTTTTTTATTACTCGTTCATTTTCTTCACTTCATTTTTTAAATACTTTTTACTCCATTTCTCTTTTCTCTCCATTTCTCACTTTTCCTTCTTTCTCCCTTTTGAGCCTTCTATATCTTTTTCTCTTTGATTCTCTCTCTCTCTCTCTCTCTCTCTCTCTCTCTCTCTCTCTCTAATATCTACATTCTTTTTTTTCTTCCATTTTCCATATTTTGTTTCTTTCTTTATTTATTTTTCAAGATTTTCTTTTTTTCAAGATTTTTTTTTTGTCAATATTTTCCTTTTTATTTTTTACTTATTTGTCTTTGCTTTTCTTTCTTTTGCATTCGTTTGTTTTCTTTTATTTCTTACCTACTCGACATTATATTGTTTACTTACAAAATTTATTTTCTTTATTACTTTTTTATTTCTTTTTCTATCTTGTTTCATCTTACCATTGTTCTTTCGTGTCGTCTCTTTTTCTTAAGTCTTCATCTGATTCTCTTTCTTTCTTACCTTCTCTTCCTTACCTTCTCTACATTTCGAAGTAGTCTTCTTTGTTTTCTTTCTTTTTCCTTTTTTCTTGGATCATTTAATTTTTTATGTTCATCTCGAACCAGTTTGATTTGTCGAAAAGCGTTGCTAAGTAGTAAAATGCTTATTTTTATTTTTTTAATGTGTGTAATTCCGAAAAATATGCTTGTTTGTGTAGATAATCAACAGTTAATAAATGAGTATCGTTGATTATTCTGTCGATTAAATATCGATTACCTACAAGTGTATTTTTCTTCATTCATCCACATGTGTGTGAAAGAAAAAAGAATTATCAGTCGAGAAAATAAACAGGTTTATTCTAAATTCTTATTTAGACTGTATCACATTTGCACTAAAACTTCGAGAAATGTACGAAGTTTATTTTACCTACATAGTGTTAAAAATTTGAACTGAAATATTTTCTCATTTAAACGACTTTGATGTAAAAACAAATTATATCTTCTCAGGAAATTTGTCTTTCGGTTTACATTTTACATTCCTATTTCATTCTGTGTTCCTGGTTATCAGGAAGACATTTTTTTCTCGCTTCATATTTCAATTCATATTTTCACCTTAATGGTTTTAAAAAAATGTTAATCCTTCCAATTCTCCAATTTATATACAGGGTTTTCACATGATCCCTTTTAATCCTAATTTCATACTACCAGTGTCAAAATAGTGTCACAATAATTCTATCACATCAAAATACAAATATAAAACATAGAGACAGACATTGACTTGATCGTAGACTGACATTTATTCAGAGTAATTTAATTTGGCTCTCAAAATCATAATACATAAACCATACATGCTCATATATAATACGAAAAAGCAATCATGAAAAGCATCGGGTTTTAACATTCACTTTAAAATGATTTTCTTAAATGTATTTTCCATAAAATCTGCAATAAAAACAGCAGTAGACAAGGTGAAGAGAAATAAAAAAGGACCAGATGAGATTGCCATAAAAAATGCTAATAATTTTATTAAAGTGATAAATGAAATATTAAATAGTGACGAAATGTTTTCATAGCTCTACTAAAGAAACCAGGTGTGAATAAATGCAAACTTCATTGAACAATTCTTTCACATAAGAAAACCAATAAATATGATTCTAATAAATTAGAGCACGTAGCAGAATTAAATCGAAAACAGAGGACTGTGACTTTTTTTTAAACGCTAAAACAAGAAACGCAAATAGATATACAGAAAAAGATATACCCTTGTTTTTCAAAGATTGCACAAAGGCATATGATATTGTACAACACGAAGAAATTCTTGAAATTTGAACGAAACTAGACTACATCATCCTGAAAAAGCTATAAGAATTATCCGTCATCTGTCCGGTTGCGAAAAGAGAACGATTAATGTGAATATACCAAAATAAAATGAGGAATGAGACAAGGACGTGTTTTTTCACTGGGTTTGTACGGCGTAGTGATATTAAGAGAATTCGATAATCTATCAGGATTTCGGGAGAGACGTAACCTTAACAATATACATTATACATTTGACACTATCTTGATGGCAGATTTCAGAAAGAAAGCAGAAATAATTATTTTAACAGTTTATTCTAGGTAATTCAAAAGTCTTACAAAAAACAAAAAGACGTAATAAAGGAGTAAGTATTGCTAGAACAGCAAAAGACAGAACGCATGATCATCCGTATCCTGAAGAAACAAGGGAGATTTACCATGGATAACTAACACTCGAAATTTTTCATAAAGTAGAGCGAATATTAAATTATTCTAAACTCATCTACACACTCTAAATCGAATGGAGGAACATTATGTTATTATATAACTAAGTTTTTGGCACTGCGGTTTCTTTGCAGGTAGTAACCAAGCTTACTATAGAGTGATACAGGGTCATGATATTGGAGCTTCCATTGAAGATCGACTCATTACACTAGCGAATGGTTTACGAAATTGGCTTGGTCATCCTGTATGTACGTTAAATATCTACCAAATTAAATTACCCATTTCATCTGACCACCTACGACTGTACACAAGGGTAGAACAGCAGGACCCGTGAAGAATCATCCACCCTTCTGATTCTCACTGTGGCTACGTTTTCATAGTTAAAGCCACGTGAACCTAACAGAAACTTAAATCGTGTGACTATGATTTGCCCTCATTCGACTATGTGTAACATCAACGTGTATATTTGAACATACTATTATGACCTTCGATTTAGAGTGAGATGCTATGCGATGTAGCGTGGAGTTTACGAGTTGCTGTAGTCGTTGTGTGGTATATATATATATATATATATATATATATATATATATATATATATATCCAAGCGCGTTCCAAAGCAGTACATAACTGAATTCTGTTTATTGAGTCTGACTGTGGAAAATTAAAATTTAATGAGGTCTGCAATAGGTTCAATGCATGTTCAATATGGTTTAAATCTGGTGATAGTAACCATTTTTGTCATCCACCTACGATCAGGTGTAATATTTTTATAGAACAAACTCTCACCACCAAGAAAGATGACAAGCATAAAAGAAAGTAAATGGTCTACAAGTTATTTTATTGTTCCAAGACAGGCTCCAATTTCATTAGTTGTTCTTGGGGTGTGTTCTAGTTGAGTTCATGTTTAGAACATACACTACACCACTACAGAGCCCAACAGCAGCTTGCACAACACCCTTTATATAACAGGCTAGATTTATAGCCTTATACGGTTCCCACCACACACGAACTTGACCGACCACTCGAAAGAGCTGGAAACGTGACTCGTCTGACCAGATGACATAGTGACGATCTTCCATAGTCTAATGGCACCGTTCTCTGAGCCAGTCATTGATTCTGTGGTGCCATTAATTGTACCCTTTTTATGAACGACGGCGACACTCCACCGAGGTCACTGATTCGTTGACCAGTGGGTTGAGCGACGTGATTTGATGTAATGTTCTTATTCGTCGATTGGTTATCATCCTTGTTATTCACCGGATATTCCGTTCTTGTATTGTCTGTGAACGCCGCAGTTTCCGCATGCCGCTGATGTACGTCGCAAATTCACATATTCCTGATATATCCTTGTTAGCGTTGACCGAGAAAAACTTAGAGCAGTTGCCACCTAGGAGAAAAACCGCTTACAATTATTCTACGATAAAACTGTTATACTTCCTTTATACTTTCTTTATTTTCTTTTTTCGTGGTTACTTGTTAGTCATCCCTTCCTTCTTATTTTGTTTTTCCTTCTTTTTTCATCTTCTCTCTCTATCCCTTTCTTCAAATCTCGTTTTTCTACCTCTTTATTCTTTCGCATTTTCCTTCCGTTAAATATATTTATCTTTTTCTTTACTCCATTTCTTCGTCTATATTTATTTTTCCACCCATTTTCCCTCCTTTGTCCTTCCGTTTTTTTTCTTTGACGCTGTTTAGATTTTCTTTTTTCCCTTCTTCCACTTTCTCCATTTTTATCTTCTTCAAAGACTCATTCTCATTAGTCGATTATTCTTTCCTTTGTATATGTCGAACTTTTTCATTATTTATTCCCACTCTCCCTTTTCATGTAAAGGCTTTCTTTTTCTACTATACTCTTTCTCTTCTTCCTATACTAACTTTCCATTCCTCCTCGTTTCATCATTTTTTATTTCCATTCTCTCTTTTTTTTTTCTTTTTTTTTTTCAAACATTACCCCTTTATTTGTAATTTAAAAAAGCGAGTTTCTTAAATCTCAACTTTCATTTAAAATTCTACCAGAAGTTTTCATTCTTCCATCCTTCAAGCTATGGCTCTCCTAATACTGTTTCAAAAGATAACTTTTTGATGTACAACATACTCGAACGAGAGGAACCATATGAAACGTAAAAAGTACCATATATCCGTATCCAAGCCACAGCTTCACCGTTGGACTTAAGTTAAAAGTAAGAGTCAGAAATTCAGTATCAAGATAACGGGAACGCTTTTTTAATTACTTTTTAATGTTTACTTTTGTAAAACTCGCACTTATTGGTTTGGTATTGTGTTCTGTATCAAGTGAAGAAAGTGTTCACCACACGTCAAGGTTGACAACGTTGTAACAGTTTTTTTTTTGTTGTTTTTTTTTAATGTTACGACTGACCCGGTAGTAAGGTAGTTATTGGGAGAGTGATCTGCTCAAGTATTCACTTACTCAATTTCTTCCCGAACATTTATTTGTCAAGGACCTAGCGATGGAATTTACATTTTCCCCAGGATCATTAAGTAAATACATCAACACTCATCTGTAATTAATCATTTTTCACTGATTCGGTTTCCATTGTTACATCGCGCGCGACTCTTAAAACGGAAATAAAATTTTCTTAAGGGTAAATTAAAAGGCCTTTATTCATCAATGAGGAAGGAAATACACTTCCAATGTTCGACCTGGAATTGAAACCGTTTTCTCACGGACACTAAGGTGTTAGTCAGAGGGATAACAACAGTACGGTAACCGAACACTCCATATGGAGGAGAAGTCACTTGTGGGAACTGACGATAATCCTCATCGGGTTTTATTTTTACACGTTTGTCAGTGGATAACAAACACTTAAACTGTATTTGATACTCATGTCTGTGTATGTATGACAATGTGCGAGTTACTTATGCAATTTTAAATTTGTACCAGTACGAATTCAAAGAAAAAAAAATATGTGTGTATGTGTACGCGTGCGCGCGTGGCCTGTGGAACAGTCCCATCTGTGTGGGTGCCACAATGCAAGTCCGACGGAGATAGGCGCCTGCTGTTACAGCCACGTGATCTTGCAGGCCAATCACCAGCTGTCAAATTGTTTACAGATAAACAATTTGTTTGTTTGCTCCATGCAAAAATGTAAGCGAACCCCGCAGAAAGAAGAACTGTAAAAGCAGAGCAGCCATGTTTGATAGGGACAAGAGGATTCTTCAATTCAGACATTTCACACCCACCCACCTACACACATAAATGAAAGAGATACTTTTATACTTGCAAGAAAATCTTTTAAAATATAGTTAAGCAAGAAAATATAGATAAGTTGAGCGTTATTTATGAGTATGTATTGTATTGCATGTAGATACAAACATATATGCAAGGTATTTTCGGATTTACACAGCATATATTTTTTAAACTTACTGTGTGTGTGTACAAAATATAAAGACTTATTTCTCTAACAATACAAAATATGAAATGCAATCGTAAGACGTAACATGTAAAGTGCTTTATATGCTTTAACATTCTAATTCCTTTCACCGATGTATTTATGAGTAATTACCTTCATTATATCCATAAATCTGTCTTAAATGTCCCATAGTTTTATTATGAGGCTATAATTTATTAGATCATGTTTTATCTGATCACCTACTTCACTCATCTCTCTCATAATGTATCGATTTGTTTGTTCTTAGTATATACCAATAATGTCCATATATGCTTCAGCTTACTCTTACATCTTAAGACGAATCAATCATTGGCTTTTCCATTTATTTACTTTTTGAAATAACATTAATTTCTGTATATAAATAATTAAGATATGCAAATCTTGTCTCGTTACAAATTGTAAATCCTTTCTCCACCCAATTCAAATTATTCGATAATATTCCCCAGTGTTTACAACATATTCATAAGAGATTTTAAACGTATTTAAAATTTCTTCATACTGCTATTTAAGTTCGATTTTTTTAATGCTTTTTTTTACCATTTCAATAAAATTCCGAAAATTAAATTGAGGAAAATAAGGGAGAAAGAACCCTTAAATACAAGGCCGTCAAAAATAATAAATGTACATATTTCATGGTGGTTATTTATTTATTTATTTTTCTTGTTTTCTTTTTAAATTTCGAGATAATAATTTTAGAGTTTTAATAAAAGTTGAAAGAATCCCGTTGAAACGAGATGGGGGGGGATCAGAGAAACTGAAAAATGCAGAGTGATTTTCTCTTGGTTAAAATTTTTTTTTTTTCATTTAAAACGAAATTAGAGTCTTTGTTATTGTTTTAAATTTTTTTAAAAGGCTTTTTTTTTTAAAACTTTTCTTTGTTTATTTCAACAAACCTGGAAAGTACTTGTGAATTTCAAGTTATTTTGAAAATCCTCGGTACGAAAAAGGAATTTCTTTTAATTTCGAACAAAAATACAAAAAAAAAAATTTTCATAATCTTTTTTTTTTTTTTTTTTTTCCAAGACAATTCTTTTCCCACTTATTTTAAACTTTGTTCTTCCAATTCCATTTATTTTCATCTCCTTGCTAGTTAGTCTATGAAGAAAAAAATCATTAATTAAAATAAAATATTAAAAAAAATATTTTTCGATTAATAAAAAGTCGAATAAAAGTAAAACTAAGTTTTATGAGGAATTATTTTTTCTCTTTAATTCGGAGTTGTATTCTTGAAATTTAAGCACTTTTCGGAATAAACTAATCAAATGAATAATCTCCAAGGTTACGCATTTTTATTTATTAACAACGTTTTAGTAAATAAAAACTTTTTTCTACAATACATTTATTTGTTTATTTATTAAAAAAAAACATATTTTTAACTACTTTTAAAAGTCTCTTTATTAGGAAGAGAGTTTTTGATCCAAGGATGGTAAATAGACGATATTGGAAGAGTGATTTAACATTCAACTACGTAAATATTTAAATTTATGTTTTACCTCAATCAATATGTATTTTTATTTCTTTTAGGTACCTTGACAAAAAAAAGAGATTTTACCTCCCTTAGCTCATTACTTGCTTATTTTTCCCTACTTTTTTGTGTCACTTTGTTTCTTCTAAAACTTGTTCGATTTTTAATTTTTTTTGTATGTTACCTAACTTTGTCTTTATCCTTTTAAACAAATTTCTGCCAGAGAAATTTTTTTCTGTCCTCTAGTACTTCTGCTCTTCTTTCTTCCTAATGTCCAAAAAAAAAAAAAAAAGTACTACAACACCGAACAATTATTAATTATAAATTATAATTAAATTTTGGCCGACAGTCTGTAGTGTACTTTCTCAATTCTTTCATTGCTGCTTGTCGTTATTAGCACTTCCTTCCAAATTGAATCCATTCCCAACGTGTCCGGCTCTCAAATTTCGCACCCACACAAAAAATCATTTTGAAATGGTGATTTTTTTTTTTTTAAATAAACACATTGCAATCATTTAAATAGTTTTAAAAAATTTTAATTTTGTTTGTATTTCGTAAAATTTAAATAAAAAGGGAGTTTGTTTGACTTATCAAAAATGAATTCTTACAAGATACTTTTTTTTCTCTTTTCACAAATTATGTATCCATAAAATAAGTCAATGACACGCACCGGCAACTTAAAATCAAATAATTGCTGATTTTGGAAACTTTTTTTTTTTAACTCAGGTGTTTTAGTCTATCGTAAACAAATATTTTCTAATGCCAGTTTGAGTTAACTGTTATTACGTCAGTATTTTTATTACGGTGTTCTTGTTCTTGAGATAAAACACATTTTCTTGGTGAAATATCGAAATTAAAAACTTATATACCGTTGAATAATTTGAAATTTTAGAATCATTCTCTGCTCAGAATTTGCCATTTTTAAACTAAAGTTTTAAAAACAGAAAAACTCCTATCAGGCCAGGACACACCCGGACTTCTTTTCCATTTAGTTTTAGTAGCACTTTCCTTCTTTTTTTCTAAATTTTTAAAAGTGAAAATAAAATTTAACATTACAAGATTTTGATTTCCTCAATTTAGAATAAAAATTATTTTTTAATATTTATTTCTAGAATTAAAAAATAATTCCCATCACTTCTTAAAAAGTGTAAGAAGATTTATTCCCTCATCAAAATATTTTGATTACAAAAAACTTGTTTCATACTTTAACTTATTGATCCCAAATTTGAATAAGATTTAAAAACTAAAAAGACAATTTTATTCGATCATTTACAAAAAGTAAAAAAAAAACAAAAAAAACATACACGTCAGTTTCAGTATATAAAGAAAAAAATCATGCATTTACTTCGAAATTTCTAGACAAAAAAAAAAAATGACTAGGAACAAGATTTTCAATTTTTTTGTAAATACGTTTAGAAAAATATTAAACTTTCTTACTTGGATCATATTTGTTTTCTAATATTATGTAAAAAAAAAAAACTACTTTAAATAAAAATTAAAGTATTTTTATTTTGTTCGGTAGGTTAGCAAATACACTTACTTCCCTTTTATTTTTTTTACGGAAATCTACAGTATTTTTTTTGTCTTTTAAAAAAAGTTTTTTTATTCACAATATGAAGCAAGCTAAAAAAAAAAGTTTTTTCCCTCCTTTTATCCACGTGTTAGGCCATAAATTGGTCAATACTTTCATTTCTCCTGGAAAATTATCTTTCCGTGTTGCTACTTTATTTACAAATACGGAAAGATAAATTTTGTTACGCTTGGTTCTCGATATCCTTGCTGACTAGAAAAACTTTCTGGCTTCCGCTTCCAATTTACCAACCCTACTTTACTTAAATTCGGAGATGAGGGGAGGTTATAAGCACTCGATTGTATGGCTTTTACCACTTTTACGCCACGGTCTTCCCAATTAAAATTTAAAAAAAAAAATTCATAAATTTCTTTTTTTTTTAAAAAAGACAAAGACATTACAATCTTTATATATTATCTGCAATATGGTCCGGTTAAAAAATGTTGAATAAAAAACACATTCTTATGGTAAAAAAAAAAAAAAATTTTTTCAAATTTGTTCTTCTAAAAGGGCGTGTTTGTCGAGGTCTTAAAAACGGACGT